AGTTCCACATCCGTAAGGAAATGAATTCTACCCCAGGGCCACGGACAGTGACCTGGGCCGCAGGTGACGCTGCTGCTCCGCCCACCCCTGGATTGCAGGCCGGGGAGACCCGGAGCAGAGGACTCCACGAGGCCCGGCCTCCTGGCCCGCAGACACCACGAGGTAATACATATGTGTTGTTTTAAGCCGCTCTGTCCGTGGTAACTTGCTGTTTAGCAGCAGAAAATGAATCCAGATGGGGAGAGCTGGTTCAGACTGAGACACGCACTGGTAACAAACCAACAGAAAGGTCGAGTAACTCGCCCAAGGCTACACAGCCAAGCAGCAATAGAGCTGGGATCCAAGCAAACCGGTGCCAGAATCCACGCTGACTACCGTGGGAGATTGCCCCGTGGGAAGGAGGATAAAAAGCAAACAACTCTCCCTCTGGAAAAAACAAAATTACCTTCCTACTTCCTACTTCCTTCCTACTCACGGGCAGAACTGATTGCAACCTTCCCCTGTGCACCCATAGAGTGTTTGTTTTTTTTTTGAGACAGAGTCTCACTTTGTTGCCCAGGCTAGTGTGAGTGCCGTGGTGTCAGCCTAGCTCACAGCAACCTCAAACTCCTGGGCTCAAGCCATCCTCCTGCCTCAGCCTCCCAAGTAGCTGGGGCTACAGGCATGCGCATTAATTACAGGCATTAATTAGTTGTCCAATTAATTTGTTTCTATTTTTAGTAGAGACAGGGTCTCTTGCTCAAACTGGTTTCGAACTCCTGACCTTGAGCGGTCCTCCCTCCTCGGCCTCCCAGAGTGCTAGGATTACAGGCGTGAGCCCACCGCACCCAGCCGACCCACAGTTTTGTCAGGACCCAAACTAGGGATTTATCTACGTTCGTAGTGCGTGTGGGAGAAAAGGGTGTGTTAGGTTTCGTAGCAATCATGGCGTGCAGCAAACAACCCCCTAATCCTCGTGGTTTTATAAGTAAACCTTTCCTTCTCTCTGTGGGTCAGATGGCCTTCCAAGCAGACCTGGAAGGAAGGGGCTGAGCCAGGAGATGCGGAGACATGAAGCTCAGCAAGGCGGGTGCTCACCCGCAGGGCTGGAGGAAGACAGCGAGAGCTGTTGCAGACGCACCTGAGCCTGCAGGTGCAGGTGCAAGAGGCAGTGGTGGAGGATGTTCCTGCCAGGGTTTTCCCTGCAGGGTAGTGCATGAGCCACCCCAGAGAGCCAGCGTGGAGGCCGGGCGTCCAGAGTGTAGAGAAGGTTCCAAGGGCGACTGATCCTGAGAATGTGCGAGGAGTTAATTGGGGCCCCAGACAGGGATTGCTGAGCAGCCTCGGGGCCCCGCTGGTTTCATGGAGTCCCCCATAGCTCAGGTAGCTCAGGGTGGAGGTTTTCTGGCCCCCACCTCTGGCCAGGGTCCCCTTCCTGTTGAGAAATCCCGACCTCTCTTCTGCCCAGCCTGTCAGTGTTGTCTCTTGGTTTTGGGATGAATAGGATGATCGCAACGGCAAAGCGATTACAAAGTGGAGTTGTAAACCTTGCCAAAGGTGAGGGACACCCTGAGAGCAAGTGATATTAGAGAACCGCTTGAGTCTATGGCTATGCGACCCCAAACACACCTGATCTTGTCTGATCCCAGAAGCTAAGCAGGGTTGGGCACGGTTAGTGCTTGGATGGGAGAACTGCTTGAGCTATTTGCAAAATCCACCAGCAAAGGAAGACCGGCCTTGGAAGAGTTAACGCTTACTTATCATCATGAGTGGTGATGTGATAGAAATTTCTAATGGTTTCTTATCAATGTGTGTTTTTTTTTAAATATAGCCTTTCTTTATTATCACCCTGGGAAGTCAAACCTGGAGTGAAGGACGTTGTAACCTGTCGTCTTAAAATTTTGTTGGAAAAAGCACACCCCCTTATCAACTTATTGCTTATTCACTCTAAGACTTCATGCTCGGCTGCTATCATAACCTGCATTTTGTTGACTACCAGGAAACATAAGCTTGGTTTTGTAAGTTTTAGTTTCACTTTTTAAGACACATCATTTTACTAATTACATGAAATGTTGGTTCCTGGTCTCAGTGGAGTCATTCTTAACGGTCCCCTCCTCGGTGGATTCGTGTCCCCTCGGGCTGGCTGGGACTGCAGGGCGCTGGGGCTCTTTATCCCTCCGAGGTGGCCCTTTGGCGATGGTGTCAGCCACAGCGGGAGTCGGGCCTGGTCCGCCCCAAGGCCGCGGGAAGGGCGGGAAGAGTTCCGTTCTGGGTGGAGCCCAGCCCTTTGTCGTGAGGCAGCATGGTGACATGACGTGTTGTGTTTCACACCAAAAATAACGCCCCTGGCGATGGAGGCTGGGGACGCTACTGTTTGATCACAGCGCACCCAGTGCTATGCGGGCTGCGATCACAGTCTGGGGAAGTCGATATACAGCCCAGGGTGGGGGGTTGTTAAAGTGATTGAAACATGGAAATGAATCTGAACAGAAAGGTCTAAATCTTACCTGGGTTAGCGTTATTGTGATAATAAATAATCAGAATAATCCCATACATTTTATAGCTTACAAAATCCTTCTTACAGATTACTTCGTGTGACTAGGTTAGGGACGATAAATCTTCAGGTTTAATTTCTCTTGGAAATATCAATCTCTAGTCTATGCAACACCTGGCTGCCTTTTTAATGGTCCCAAAGCGCAGCTTCTCCATTCATTCCCCAGCTCAAAAACTTTTAGAAACTTTCTGTGTCTAGAGAATAAGCTCCAAACTCCTTGTCCCGGCGTTCGAGACCCGCTAGGACCCTGCCGGCTCCTCGTTCTGCAGCTACGCCTGTCCACACTCCTCCTCACGCACCTTCACACCTAACCGTGGCACTTCCTGCTTCCGGGCGTGCAGCTCTGGTCACTAGGCTGGCGCCTTTGTCCATGCAGCCCCTGCTGTCTCCTCACAGGCACGTGGCCATCTTGTGAGACGGGCCTGCGTTCTCCTGCAGGCAGGAGTCTCTCGCCTGTGAGCTCCCTTAGTGCTTTCTCTGACCCTCTCTACAAACAGCCTGACCTGCACTGGTGCCACAGCACTCACGGCTCAGCTCCTCCAACCGCAAGCTGCTTGGGGGCAGGACTTGAACTTGACCCTGCTTTGTACCTCCTACCTCTGCTGTGGGGCCCTCCCCAGCCTGCCCAATGCCCAGCCTGAGGGTCGATAAGACTTTTTCTGCAAAGGGCCAGATAGCAAATATTTACTTTGGGGGCCATCGGGACTTTGTTGTTACTACTCCATTCTACCATTGGCACTCCAAAGCAGCTGTAGAAAAAAATGTAAATAAGTGGGTGCAGCGGTGTTCCCGATAAAACTTTATAAAAACAGAAATGGAGCTGGATTGGGCCTGGGGGCTATAGTTTGCTGGTGCCTGGTTCAGCCAAAGGTGCTACATGAATGTTGATTATGGACGCATGCTACGAGGAAAAACACATGAGTATTTGGGAATTGGGTTTGAGTATTTGGGTATGTAGGGTCAGGGCCAGAGCCCTGCTACCACTCAGCCACCTGCACAAGGGGGAAAATGAGTTGCCTCTGCTGGCATCATGCCAGGAGGAGGGTGCTCACCGAGAGAAGCTGGAGGGGCCCCTGGGCTTGGTGGGGTGGGAGGCGAGCTGGAGGGCACAGCCTCCTGGGTCAATGGTGTGGGCCGAAGCCAGCACAGAGCGATGGGAAGGTTGCTGAGCCCCAACCCAGGATCTTATGTGACCAGCTCGCTCTTCTGTCACCCCTTTGAGTAAGGAGGCTCGTGCCCCTTCAAGTTGATGCCCCCCCTAGAGTGGACACAGTTTGGGCAGTGTGGACCTTCGCAAATAGTACCGGGCTGTTCTCCTCTTCCTGTGTCTTCAGTTAACCACAGCCAGGATGGGACCCAAGGGCCAGATAAGAGGTGGTGACCTCCTTCAGTGTGACCAACATGATCTTGTGTCACCAAGCCCAGCACCCGGCACCAGGCACCTGAGGATGATGCCCAACTTCCATTTAACCCTTTGTTGTCCACCCAATGTTCTCTCCACATCTCGCTCCATCTGATCCTCCTCCCCCAACTTTTCAACTGTGATTATGTTCCCATCTTCCCTGGGAAGAAGCAGGCTCAGGGCCACAAAACGCAGCGTTACCTCCTCTTCCCAGGGGAAGCAGCGCAGAGGGGGGGCCCGGGCAGCCCATCTGCAGCCTGAGCTCGCTGGGCTCCAGCATGGTGGCCCCAGGGGGAAGCTGCTCCCTGGGAGAAACTGAGTCCTTTTGTCATCCTGACACACAGATGTGTTCGCCGGCTTTCTACGGGGTGAGCAGCAACCCTCGCTCTTAGGAAAACTCTGTGTGCAAGGGCAGCTCCCTTTCAGAGGGCTGAGGCCCTGTGACGAGCGCAGGCGAGGATTTTTACGGGGACCCACGTCTTAAGGAGGAGCCGGGAACTGCAAAGTGGGGCCGGGGACTCAGTCAACCGCCAACATCTTTCAAAGCTGAAAGTGGAGTATTTCCAGACCTTTCCTAGATAATTGGTGGCTTGGATGGTCACCCGAACTCCCCTCCCTTCTTTCTATGTGAAGACACAGGCAAAAGGAAAGCAAAACCCACATTGCTGGAAAAGGTATAGTGTTTCAGTGACGGAGTGATGGGGTGGTTTCTCGCCCGTGGTTCTTTGAACAAAAATGCTTCCTGGGAAATAAGTAGAATTCTTTTTTAAGAACACCCCGTTATTTTCTATGTAAGTACAGAGCTGGAGGAGAACTTTCAGAAGTTGAACGTGGAGCACAAAGTTGGATTTTCATAGTTTGTCTGATGTGCAAGTTCTGGACCAAGCCATTTAAAAACACCAGGGAAATAGCTTGAAATAGAATGATCTACCCAATACTTAAAAAAAAAAAAAAAAAAAAAGAAGCCAGCAAAACAAATGAATTTTATTTTATTTTATTTTATTTTATTTTATTTTATTTTATTTTATTTTATTTTATTTTATTTTCCTTTTAATGGACAAGAGAAAAAAATAATCAAATTAGGGCAGGAAACAAAGAGGACCTCCAGCAGGAGGGGGTGAGACGCTGTTTCCTTCTGGATTCTAGGACAGACGGCAGCAGCACCCACTTGTGGGGAGAGGAGGCCCCACTCCCCTAATTTCCTCTCTTTTGCCAAGATTGCCACTTGTCCCTGGGCCACTTCTTTTACTTCTCAAGTCTGTCTTCTCATCTCTCTCTCTCTACCTCTTCCTTCAGTGCTTAAAGCCCTGCCTTCCAACTCCCAACATTTTAAAAATTCTTAATGATGCAACCTGAAGTTGCCATGGCAACTAATTTCCTTGCCGAGGCGGTGGTACAGGCCTGTGATCGGGCTGCCATTGAAATCGCGAATAATTTTCCTTTTCTTTCAAAATTAAGTAGGGCGTCCAAAGTGTTCCGCTGTGGTTTTCCCTGCCCCCAAAGAATAAGACTCCCATGCACTGAAATATCCAGTTATTGCATTTCCCTGGCATCTTTTATGACTTCCTTCTCCACTGCCATACACAACCGTCCCTCTGGAAACATAACGGGAACACGCTCTTTGTTATTTCTCTTTTGTCAGAGTGAGAAATGCTTCTGATGAAGTCTAATGACATTTGATGTTTTTTCCCCCCTCTTTTTTTAATTGCCTTTAGTTTCCCATGCTTAAAAACAACCAAGTTTCTTTCTCCTTGAATCTTGAGGACAGTTTTGAAGCCAGCGCTTTGGTGCACAAAGGAGTTATTTGGGCCCGAAGGTTGGCATTGGTGTCACCGTGTGTGGATTCCCCTGCGAGCTGTCCCTACCCATCCTCTGTGCCTTAGTGACTTCCCAGCACAGGTGGGGCCGGGCGCCTTCTCCCCGCGCTGCCTCGGTTCCCCTAGCACCCCGAACAAACCCAGACCCGGTCTTTCCGCCCTTCCTACTCCCTGACGGCTCTTCAGGCCAGGGGCTCTGAGCCTGCCTGCTCTTCCTGCGGTCCGGTAGTTCTGTAACGCAACATCCGTGTGGCACTCTTCCTGCCTCGGCTTCCACTGGGGGCCAGCACGGCACCTGCCGTGAAAGTGAGCAGGAGAATCTACAAAGGAAACCAGTGAAAACGAGCAGTTCTGTGGTCCTGGGCTCCTAGACAAGGTCAAGAGTATAAAACAAGGATCAGAGTGTGGGACAAGGAAGGGTTTGGTGCAGAGGCGTTCTCTTGGAAAGTCGGGGTGTGCAGAGGTGCAGGAAGGTGGAGGAGCAGAGGGGGCCCCCTCTCCCACCACACCCTACCCCCACCCCCGTTGCTCCCTCCCCTCAGCTAGCTCTGAATCCGGCCAGCACTTTCCAGTTCTTAGCTCCACCTCCCTGGGCTTGGGACACTGTTAATCCTCCTCTGTTTTGGATTCTTTCCCTCTTTGGCTTTAATCGTGGCGATCTCTCTGCGATTTCCTCCTACCTCTCAGCTGGTTCCTTCTCCGATCCTTCCCCATGTCCTCTGAGACTGGCATTTCCCAGGGTTACCTCCCTGCCCGCCTGTTCTGGGCCGTTTCTCTGCACCAGCTGCATAACAATCCCAAATGTACGTTCCAGCCCAGGGCTCCCCTCTAACCAAACTCTACACCTATGCAACTGTCTCCTGAAGGTCGTCGTGGCTGTCTCATAGACCCCTGAATTTAACAGGTCCCAAACGGAACTCATCATTTTGCCCCGATACTTTCCCGTGGTCCTATCAACATGGTAAGTTGTACCCCCACACACAGGACAGAAACCTGGGAGGCAGCTTTGAATCTTTTCTCCCTGCAGGCTCTGTGGCTGACTCGAGGCCCCCACCTCCTGCCACACGGCCGCCCTCTCGGCTGCAGAGGAGCTCTCAGTGCAGACGCGACTGGGACAGCCCCCGCTCAAAGCGAGTCCTTACCTTGAAGATGCAAGTCCAAGTTCAAGTCCTTGGTATTGTCCTTCTGGGCTTGCAAAGCCTTCTAGGGTCAGTGCTGGGCAGAGGAGCCTCCAGGCTAAGAGGAAACAAGAGCAAAGGCACAGGGTTACTGTGTGGGTCACGTCATCGTCCCTTCCTCACAGACCATGGAGCTGAGAGAGGCCCCCTACGGCGCACATACAGTGCACTGAGGCAGAGCCAGGACGTGAACCTGAGCCTTGTGAGTCCTGTGCTTCCCCTGGAGGACTAGGACTAGGGCTGGCTGCTATGGGCGAGAGCCTGGTGGTCTCTCTCCTCCTGTCCCTTGGAACCGTAGGATGCAGCCCACAGCCCATGACGGTGTGGCTGTCTCTTGCCACTTGGCTGGCTCGGTCATTCATTCAGTTCCCATTTGTTGGCGCACCTGCTCAGGGCCAGGTCCCATGCCAAGTGCTAAGATGCAGAAATAAGTAAGAGACTCTCTATCCTGCAACAGCTCCCAGTCTCAGGGAGGAGTGGATGCCGGATCAGGCTGCTGGGAAACAGTGGTGGAGGTGGGGAGTTTCCACTTCTCCAGCTAACGGTTCAGCCTCTGTGAAGTGGGGTGGATCACACCTTCCTGTGGAGGAGCTTGGGAGCTACACAGGCTGGGTTGGTTCCTGGCACCTCTGCTCTGACCTTAGTCACGTTGCATGACCCCACGGTGTCTTCATTCGCTGCAAAATTGGAGCAGTCAGAATCTCTACCGCGCAGGACACCAGCGGGAGTCAGATGAGTTGACGGGTGTGCAATGCTCACCGCAACAGCTCGACCCTCCGAGGGCATGTCAGGGAGGTGAAGCAGGGAGCTTAGAAGGGGGAGGTAGTCAGAGAAGGCGTCCTGGAGGAGTGCATGGCTTGGGTTAAAGTGTAGAGCAAGAAACAGCAAGGGGGTGCGCGCTGTTGGTGGGAATGTGAATTGGTGTAGCCACTACAGACTACAGTGTGGCGTCTGTCAAAAAATTACCTATGACCCAGCAACCCCTGTTGGGTAGAGACACAAAGGAAATGAAATCAGCACCTCGTAGAGATTTCTGTACTCCCATATTAATTGCAGCATCACTCACAGCAGCTGAGATATGGAAATAACCTAAGTGTCTGTTGACGGACACATGGGTAAAGAAATTGCGGCATATACACACACCGTGCATCTCAGTCTGTTGGTGGTGCTGTAACAGGACACCCGAGACCGCGTGGTTTATAAAGAACAGAAATGTATTCTGCCACGGTTCTGGGTGCTGGGAAGTCCAAAGACAAGGCACCGGCGTCGGCGAGGGCCTCCTTGCTGCACCCTCCGTGGCGAGAGAGAAACTTTCTCTCTGTCAAGCCCTGCATAAGAGCCCCCGGCCCCATACACGAGGGAGGAGCTCTCTCGGCCTAACCGCCTCTTAAAGGCCCTTTTGACATTGGCAACGCCTGAAGTTTGGAGGGGACACATTCAAGCCATAGCACAGTGGAACATTAGTCAGTCTTTCAAAAGAAGGAGCCCCTGCCCCTTGTGACAACTGGGATGAACCTGGAAGACATTGTGCTGAGTCAAGTAAGCCAGACGCAGAAAGAAGTAAAGACACTGCATGATCTCACTTAGATGTGGAATCTCAGAAAAGTCAAATGCATAGAAATTGAGAGCAAAGTGGTGGTTACCAGGGGAAGGGAAGGGGAAGATGTAGGTGACAAGGCACGAATTTGCAGCTAGATAGGATGAATAAGTCCAGGGATATAATGTGCAGCAAGAGGACTACAGTTAATAATATTGCATTGTGTACTGGAAATTTCCTAAGGGTAGATGTTAGGTACTCTTAACACACACACACACACACACACACACACACACACACGCTCACGCACACGCAGTAACTGTGTGAGATGAGGGATGTGTTAGTTTGCTCGACTGTAGTAACCACTTCACTACGTGCGTACCAAGATATCCTATTGTTCTCCTTAAATAGATACAATGAAAAAAGCAGCAGCAAGAGGTGTGTGGGCATGTGTTGTGTTGTGTGTGCCTATCCGTGTGCGATGTTGTCTTGGGCACATGGTGGTGACAGAAGGCTGGAGAAGGAGGCAAGGGCTCACCAAGGATGACCCTAGGTGCCCTCAGATGGCCAAGGATGACTGCAGGCCTTGTTAGATGGTCTTGACTTTATCCCAAGAGGCCCCAGGAGCCACTGGAAGGTTGGATTCAGGCGACATGATGTGTGGTCTGGTCCCGCCAGCAGGCAGGAGTGTGGGGGACAGGTTGGAGGGGTGACAGGAGGACAGCCAGGAACTGCCTGGGAAGCCCCCGTGGGGCGGCGGTGGGCCAGGGACCACCCTGCACAGACCACGTCTACATGTCCCCACTAGGTCACCAGGCTGGTACCTCCGAAGCCCCTTACAGGCAGGGAGGTGCTGGCCACCAGGCATCAGGACACGAATAAGCACAGCCCTGTCTCTCTTACATCACTGTGATCTGAGACAAGATCACACAACCGTGTCGAGAATTCCTCATTTCTGATTTTGAGACCTGTGATTTGGCAAGCTCGAAATAACCGTCATTTGGCACCTAGAATAAGTCATTTCTGATAGGCACTCAATAAATATTTGGTAAAGGAATTCATGATTTCTGGGTACATTTCCCATCTTTGTTCAAATGGCAGACATATTCAGTTCTTGGTTCAGAGCACAAATTATCCCGGGTTAGGGCTCCAAGCTGGCCCTGTGTGTATACAAGCACTGAGCGCCTCTAGCTGACAAACCTCTCCAGCCTCAGTTTCCCCTGGAGCCCTGCTGCCCACCACGCCACCACCACCTCCTTGCACCGAAGTTTCACGAGAGCTCAGACGGACAGCTGCTCTGCGCACGGCGAGGCTGAGAGCGCTTTGTTAGATCTGCTCCGTGAGGGGCTGGAGTGGTGGCGAGGACGGGGCAGAATCAATCCGTCCACACCTGCTCCGGGGCGCCCATGGAAGGCCGCATTCCAGGACAACAAGCCGGGCTCTCATGCCAGGAGGTCCTAGCTAACTCTGGGAGACCTAAGTGCCTTCGGGGATTAGAGGAATTTAATTAAATTCAGACAACCTTCACACTCGCCACCCGGCTCCCGCATACCCAGCCAAACGGACCCCGCACGCATCTGGAGCTTGCCCTCGCTGGCTCTCGTCTCTGTGTGTCCCCCCCACCAACTACTGAGATAAATGGGGGGCCACGCGCAAAATTCCTCCCTTTGAGCCTTTTCAGACCTCCCAACCAGAGATGATTTCTCCAGCACCATCGGCGGTTAAAGAATGGCTCAAAGCCTTGAATGGGAAGGGAAAGCGTATCCATTTGCTTGCAGAGTGTCCTCCCCAACTCCTCCACGCCGGGCATCAATAGCGCCGGGAACAATGCCCGCCGCGTGGTGGCGGGAGCGGCCCCAAAGCAGGAGGCGGCCGCGAGATTCACGGGGAGTCAAGGTCTTCCCGTGACGGGGGAGAGCACTCGGCGGGGATAATAAAGCACTCGGAAAGTAATGATGTACTTAAATGTGCACATGAAGCACTTTTAATGTTTCTTCTTTTGACAAAGAGAAAACTGAAGTGGGCAGCTTTGGTGAAACGGACACCTCTGTCCCTAATGTGTGCCGAGTGGTGGATCTCGGGACTTTGAGCACTGTCGGCGAAGGCGTTGTCACCAGCGAGGGATGCTCGCAGGGGCCGAGAAGCGAGCCTTTGCCTCCATTGCTTTCTCCACCTGCGGAAACATCTCTGTTCCCGTGCTGCTTGCAGAGGGGGTGCTCCGCCACTGTCTGCAGGAGGGGGACGCTTCGGGCAGAGCTTGTACGTGGAGACTCGAGTGAGACACAGTCTGGCAGTGGGGGAAGGCAGGCCAGGATCCTTTCCAGGAGAGAAAGGGTCTATTCTGGGTGCATTAGCAGACGGGAGCCCCCCCCACCCCCCGGAGGGAGATGCATTGGTTAGCTAGTGCTACAAAATGCCGCATAACACACCACCCCGAGACTCAGTGGTTTTAGACGTCACTCATGCTCACCCGTGTGCAGGTTGGCTGGGCTCAGCTGGCAGCTCTGCTCTGCTCCCAGGACATGGCAGTGCTTGGTGGGGCGGCTGGCTGCACGTGTGCTCCTTCTGGGCCCGGGCTCCGGAGCAGCAGCTACCCAGGAGATGTTACGGCCAAGCCCAAAGTCAAGAGGTAGGGAAAAGCATCCTGGCCACAGTGACGCCTCTTCAAGGATGGGGATATAGGGAAAGGTGGGGACCGGGGCAGCCACCATGGGAAGTGACAGCATGCTGGTCTGTGACACCCACTTTCTCAGTTTTTCTTCTCAGCAATTCTGGACAATAGGCATTGCTGGCCCCACAGATGCGATTTGAAAGGTGGAGTCCCTTGAAGGAGCTTGCACGGCAGGCGTGGGGTCAGGACTTAAAAGTCTGCCTGACTCCAAAACCCAGGCTCTTCCTGCCTGAGCCACTGAGCCATGCTGGGGTTTTTCCTCATCTGAAAAATGGGACTCAAACCACATTTTTGCATCTCTTTGCAAGTTTGTGTGAGGCTCCACCAAGGCGATGTATAGGAAATTGCTTCCTACGTCAGGGAGGCGGAGTGGTCTAAAGGGGAGGGACTAACAATCTCACACCGTAGGGCCAAGCTCCGGCTGTGTTAGCAGCTGGGGTGCACCTCACTGAGTCCCAGTGACTGAAGGTTGGTCGTGTGACCGGGCTTTTGTCAAGATGGCCTGCACCGTCCCCAGTCTGATCGGTTCGGCAAACGTGCCACAGTGCAGCAAGCGTGTGCCGGGCAGGTGTGCTACAGGTGCAGAGGGGGAGGTGAACAGTGGTGGGTCATTCCCGTGGGATGTGGTTGAGGGCCTGCCGGGGGATGTGCGGGGAACACCCGCCCCCGTGGGAGGCGTCCCTGCGGGGGGAGATGCCTGGACCTGGCATTAGGGTGCGTAGGAGCTGTGGGGGCGAGGCAGGGGAGGGAGGCCACTCCAGGCGGCGGGAACAGCGTGGCCAGAGCCACGGAGGCATCACGCAGCGAGCTGGGGCTCAGAGTCACTGAAAGATCGAGTTCGGGGCAGGGAGAGGCAGGAGATGCTACGTGAGAGATCGGGGCAGGAGGCAGAATAAGAAGGGCCGTGTGGACCTCCGTTGGGGCCTGGGGTCCCGAAGTAGGGTTTAAGCAGCACAGTGACAGGTCAGGCTGGGATGTGAGAGGGGCACCGTGGCGACGGCAGTGGAGGGCAGATCTGCGGGGCCTGGCTGGGGCAGGAAGCCATCGCCATGGTGACGAGGGCCTGACCCAGGAGACGAGGAGGAGAATCTGGTCCCATCAAAGGCCTTAGGTTCCCTGTGTCACACCTTCCTTCCCTCTGCTGCCCTGCCTTTGCTCGGGCTGGTCCCTCTTCCCTGACCTTCCTGTGCCACGTCTCATTCCTCCTCCGCACCCCAGCCCAGCCTGCCTTCTCTGCCTCTCTCTGCCTTCCTGGAGCAGACCAGGCCCTCCATCCTCGGGGCACCGACTCCAGCCCCCTCCCGACAGTTCCCACCGCTCCACGAGCCCTCGAGAGTTGGGGCCACGTTTTCATTTCTGTGTCCCCTGTGCTTAGCGCCACGCTTCTTGGCCCAT